AAAAGGTAGACTTTAAACATCCACCTTTCCAATTTTCTTTAAAGAATTCCTATTCCTTGTCACTAAACACAATTCACAACAAAGTTATTTTCAAAGGGTGAAGACCCAAGAATGAAATGTAGATCCAAGACAAAAGATATGGTAAAAATGTGAACATCACCCATAATGACTGCTTTGCTAGTTCTGCTGTGGTTTTTTGTTTTTTTGGGTTTTTTTTTTTTTTTTTTTTTTTTGGTACCGCAGATCAAACTCTGGTGCTTGTGCTTGTGAGGCAGGCGGTGCCAGCCCTAGGCTAAATCCCTGGCCCAGCTTTGCTATTTCTAAGGTCAATGATGGTTTATAAGAAACAACAGCTAACTCGGATCCCTCCTGAAATGCAATTAAAATGAAAGTCAAGATGAAAACAAGGCACTAATCCATAAAATCAAAGAAAATGGCAGCAGACACAAACAGATGAGATGCTAACATTCTCAAGGTTTTAAAGCAAGTGGACAACTGGTAACTAACATAAAAGTTGGATTCCTTACAGAACACTAGAAATAAGCAGAAACTATAAGTAGAAGATAATTCTAAAGGTGATGGTGACCCAGTGTCAGTAGAATTTATTGAAATCTTATGAAGAAGAATCAGTAGGCCCATCTAGGCAGCAGCCTTCTATGACCCTAAAGATGCCCCTCTGGGAAGCTGTAGGCTTGGGGACACAAGCACAACTGACAGACAGGAGATGCCACATTTGGAAGACAAATACAGGGCATAAAGGTCTTAAGATTCCAGACTCTTCCTTTACTGTACTTAACTCTACTAGACACTAGATAGGGCCAGGCCAAAAGCACAGCCCAAGAAAAAAAGACCTTTGCAAATTCTTGAAAAAAGTCAGTTTCTGCCTTCCTCTTCAGGGGAGCTCACCAGGTGGTAAACTGTACACAAACATAAGACTCTATCGGATTTTTAGTACCGCGTCATTAAATAGAAAGAGAGCAAGCACTGTGTAACACGTGAGGAAAGCCTAGACTAGTGACAGTGAACCTTCTAGAGCTTTCAATGATGATGATATAAACAGCCCACTGTACCACGAGTGCCCTAGGTTCACCACCAGTGGCCTAGACCATAAAATAGTGGCGGGGGGGCACACTTAACAAGCATCACAGAGAATGCAGGGACCAAAAGAAAGCTGGGGATGAGGCACTATTATCAAAAAATGATACACATTGTATTCAAAAAACAAAAACAGAATGTGCTAAAATACAAACATCCAGAGTTCTTCGTTAAAAAATGGTGACCAAGACTAAAAATTCAACAGAGCTGGGAATGGAGTCCAGCACTTGCCAAGCATACATACATAAAAGGCCTGGGTTAAATCCCCAGCACAACTCAAAATAAAAACAAACAAAACAAAACAGAAAAATCAGTAAGAGCCTTCTCTAAAAGAATGGACACAATCCTTTGAAATTAGGGACGTTAGTAAGTAAGCACAAACATGAAATATAAAATACCCTGCTCAGGGCTGGGCATGTGCTTAGCATGACCAAGGCCCCAGTTTCAATGCTCAACACCAAAAGAAAAAAAAAAAAAATCACATCTCCATCAACAATTTTATACATTGTATCTAGAAAAAAATTTAATGTAAGCAATAATTTATCTTCAAATATACCATAACCAAAATTAAAATCTAGATGAAATCTACACACTTGTACCTTTCTTCTTAGGGTTTTATTTTTAAACTGGGGGAAGAATTTAGTGTATCTTGGTAACCAAAAGTCATGAAGTATGACGTAATCTTATGCCCTCAGAAATCCATAAAGCCTGTTTATGAGTATGGGCTTAGCAGTCAAATACCAGTGTTCAAATTCTGGCTCAGTTGTTTTGAATTTCTTGTTTTATTTTGGTTTTGTTTTAGGCAGTACTGGGGATTAAACCCAGACCTTCTATGTATGTGCTCAGCACATGCTGTACCACTGGGCTACTGAATTTTCAGTATCATTTTTAACCTTGGGCAAGTTATTTAATTTTTTCAAGTCTTAGTTTTTTGATCTGTAAAATGAGAAACACTACCACCTACCTACTCTATTAGATGTTCTGAAAAGTGGGTGAAGTAATATGTAAGTGTATAGCATAGTGCCTGGACTAAAAACACACACTAGAGGCTTCCACAGCAATTACTACTACTAGTCACTGTCCACTTAGCTAAACTTTGCCCGTAACATTCTAGAAGAACATGCCCTTCTCAAATGGCTGAGAAGACAATACATTAAAATACTCTTGAGAAGCAAATTTTGAACATTGAAATCTGAACCTTGGGGGAAAAAAATATTTCCCCAAATACATGATCAAATTAGTCTCTGAAGGAACTGAATATATGTCTGTCTCTTTGCCCTGGTATGCTGAATTCCACAGCACTCTGTAACTTACTTCAGCATCTTACTATTTATATTCTGGAACAGGATCTAATGCATAATCTAAAGCACATCAGATAAGTGTGCAAGTCCTGCTGTGGGTCTTCAAAGGATAAAAGCAAGTAGATGCAAAGAGCCCCATGACTGTCACTTCCTAAATGTATAGAAAGTTGGAAAACATAAACTATATTCAACAATTCAGATTGTTTTAAATGTTAATTCCAATCATTTTCAAAAAACTGAATGCAAAAAGATCAACTTATCAGGTGAAAAGACTACCTTCATAATGTGACAGTTCTGGGCCTGAAACCTGTTAATTCTTGAAACAACTTTGGACAAGGTATTAAAAACTCTACACCTCAGTTTCTTACCTGAATGATAAGACACAATTCAACGAAAATTAAACGAGATATGGCCTAAGGAATGTATAGCAGACACTCCAAAACTAACTTTTATATTATCTATTTTTTCAGTTTCGTTTGTTTCCCAGCATCAGGGATCAAACTTGGGACTTTGTGCTTACCAGGCAGATGTGGCACTGTTGAACTACATCCCTGGCCCCCAAAAATAACTTTTAAAATTATACTCTCTTACGTAACAGTTTCTCTGGTATGAAAAACTAAAAATGTAAATAAGATCCAAATTGTATAACTGACAATGTGAAATACGAAGAAAAGGGCTAAAGGTGTAGGGGAAGTGGGAAGGGTAGGGGAAAGGAAATGAGGGACAAGAAAAAATGAGAAAAGGAAAAAATGGAAATAAAGTCTTTGTAAATAGAGGGTAGAGGAGTGAAGGGAGGACAGGGGTATGGGGAAAAAATGAGAACCAAGATGTCATGTAAAGGTACAACATCCCAATGATGAATGCAACTGTACTGTATACTTAAAAGTACCAATAAACTCAATGAAACAAAATTACACTATTTTTTTCAAGAGTTCATCTTCAAGGTCACTCATTTTCAACTGACTCATTCTGTTTCTCAGTTCTTTCAGAGTTCTTTAGTTTAACTGTAAAAGTTGCTTCTAGGCCAGGGATTTAGCTCAGTGGTTCCACCACCTGCCTCACAAGCGCAGGGACTTGAGTTAGATCCCCGGTAGCAACAAAAAAAAGAAAACTCATCTCTGTTCTTCAAGAATAAAGATATTTCAGAACCAGGAAGAACAGAACAGATGAAGAAACCAACAGCATGCAAGACAGTTCACATGTGATGCTGGCCACTGCCAGGATCAGTCAGGAACAACTTTATAATATCAAGCCTAATACAAGCACCATCACAGGGAAGAAAAACCAAGAAAGCAGAGGCAACAAGTCCAATTGTCAGATCCCATAATCAACTTCAGAAGCAGATAATACACAACAAAACATAAGTGGGTCAATTATACATTTTTAATAGTTCTTTGGAAGTGTTGGTAGTTACAGAATTCAATAAATTCTACAATCCCTTTTAGACATCCAGTAAGACAGAAAGCAGAGAATAGGAGAAAGAGATGAAAAATATTTACACAGCGCGTGAAGCACAACAAAGCTTTGAGAGCAAGTTGAGGAAAAACTTCCATCTTCCCAAGGAAGGATATTACAAGAGTGACATATATCCTTTCTTCCCTAATGTTGTACACATTTCATAAATTCACAGCTTGAGATCATCAGAGTATTTGCTTACAAAATGTGCTGATAACTTTAAGATGTAATGCTAGTGAAGAATAACCATCAGCTGCTGGGTCCTTTTCTTCAGCCTACTTCAATGAACAATTACTAACCACCAGGCAATTATTACCTGCCTGGCATTACTGACATCGTCTGCCCGGAAAAATTCTGCAAAGCTTATTTGATTCCTGCCTTCAAGCAGATCTGTGAAGGAGAGTTAAGAGATCACTGCCACAGGTTAAACGCCAGATACAAGGGAAGCACAAACACTACCTATCCAGAACGTCTCTTCCCAAGTCTCAGATTCTATCCAGCAGATCCATCCACAGTTAAGCACCTGCTGGACCCAAGGAACACACCTGAGCGCAACACCTGAGCCCAACATCCCTTGTGGCAGTCACAGCAGTACTCCCATGTACATGAGGGCCCGCAGCACACACATCCACTGCATGAACACCCATACACAGATGTGTCTGAACATGCATGCTTTGGTCATTAATTTGTACCACAAATATATTTTTTATTTTTCTGGCACTGGGGATTGAACCAGGCTTTGCAGAGTTACAACCCCAGTCCCTTATAATGTTTGTACTTTGAGACAAGATCTCAAAATTGCTAACTAGCAAGGCTGGGCTCAAACTTGTGATCCTCCTGCTCCAGCCCTCACGTGCATCTCCACATCCAGTTGTCAGGCAAATACTGAGGCCCCTAAGTAAACAAAGAGTCCCAGTTTGGCCCCTCATTCCCCACGTGATTTCAGACAAGTCACTTCCTCCATAGGCACTGACTCCTCAAAGGTCAGAGAAAACCACGGAAACATTCTTCTTCTTTTTGGCTTCTCCCTTAATACAGTCTAGTAGGAGGCAGCAAAAGTGATTCTCAAGAGCCACCCATCAGTGCATCTGAATTCACCAATTTCACTTAAATTTTGTAATAATCCACCCATTCCTTTCCTCTACTGACCTTGAAACACTGGAAATTTACTACTCGCTCATTTGAGGCCCCTTCTATATGAAAATCTGAGATTTTAAAGTTAAAAACAACAACCTAGGCCGACACGAAAATCCCAGACCTCTGCAGTTCTGAACCCAGTCAGCGAACAGAGGCAAATGTTCGAAAAGATACAAAATCCTGCACCACTAGATACGGAAACAGAGACAGCAGGAGTCCCCGGCCAGGGAAGCCCAGTCGAGGGCGGGCCCACCGCGGGCGCGAAACGGCAAGGAAGTGGCCAAGCCCAAGCTCGGCCCAGGACCGAGAGCTCCGGAGGGCGGAGCGGCGGCAGGTGAGACCGGAGCACGGGGCGCAGGGGCAACGCAACTCAAGGGCCGGGCCTAAAAGGACCGTGAAGGGAGAGGCCCGGACCCGAGGCCGTACAATCACCTGCGAAGCGTCCAGCCGCGGGCGGAAGCGTCCAGCCGCGCAGAGACGTCCTGACGTCACCGTTGGCGCGCGTGCGCGGGGCACGCCGGAAGTTGGAGAGGGACGGCGAAGGCGGGTCTTTCAGCGAGCAGAGAGGACCCGGGTCCGGGCTCAATGCGCTGACTTCCCTGCAGAGCAGAGGCTCGGTTTTCAGCCGAAGAGTCGGTATTAGCACCTTCCTTTCGGCCTAGCAAAAAGGACCAGAGCTCCTGAAAGAAATGGGCGCCTGTAGGACGGGAGCTCACAAAGTGGAAGCTGAGCTTGGAATAAACTATGTGGTCTTAACTCAGGCTCAAAAAAGAGAAAAAAGGGGTGTATCAAAGGACACGGCATCATCAACCTGAGAGCGCGCCCAGCAGGATGTTAGCGATATATTGATTAATCACATAGGATGAAGTTATAACCTGCAGTATAAAATATGTGTACTAATACAAGCAAATGAATAAAGGAATAAGGGGAAAGAGATACATATTCCATATGAAGGAACTGTAACTATTAATACCCCATCAAGAGTTAATCCCACCCACCCCAAAGTGTGTGGTGTGCATAGTGACTTCCAAAGAGTACAGTATGAAAGGAGTTGAGGGGGAAATAATCTTACACTAGGAAATCTGACACAATGCCTCAACTGGATAGATACTGGAGATTACTATCGACAATGATTCCACATGTTGATGTGTTTGCCATTGATACGGTGTGATGAAAGCAACTCTTCCTGTGGTCTTCGTCCCAAGAAACTATAGCCATAGTCTAATGGACTAGTAGGAAAACATCAGAAAAATCCCAATTAAGTCCTCCTTAAGCACCAAGCTCATCGGAAATAAAAGATTAAGAGCTGAGGATTTAGCTAATTGGTTTCACTACCTACCTCCCCTTGGAAGCACAAGTTCCCCAGTTTGATCCAGGTACAAAAAAAAAGAGGGGTGGGGAGGGATGGCGTAGAGAGAGGAGGAAAGAGAGGGAAAAAAAGACAGTGCCAGGGATTTGGCTCAGTGGTTCCGCCACCTGCCTCGAAAGCACAAGGTCCCAAGTTCGATCCCCGGTACCAAAAAGACAGAAATTGTCCTATGTGATATGTTATGCTAGACTGGCTCCTGAAGTAGAAAACAGGATGTTTATAAAGGAGGGCAGAGGTACGGGGAAAAAATGAGAACCAAGATGTCATGTAAAGATACAAGATCCAATGATGAATAGAACTGTACTGTATATTTTTAAAGTACCAAAAAACTCAATAATGATAAAAAAGAAAAGGATGCCTGTGAAAGATATATATATTATATTACAAATAAAAATTTAAACTATTGGTTTTGACATGTACCATGTTTATGTAAAATAATAGTTTTACGAGAAATTATGTGAACAGTGCATTATCTTTTCTGTAAGTCTAAAATGATTTTGAAGGGCTGGGGAATTAGTTCAGTGGTTCCACCACCTGCCTCACAAGCGCAAGGGGTCCTGAGTTTGATCCCTGGTAAGTAACTAAATAAATAAACAATTTCGAAATGAAAAGTTTATTTAAAATAAAGGATGATTAAGAGGTAAAGAAATGTTAATTATCCTTACTGCTAGACTTTTTTTTTCCCCACTAATTTTATTGGTACATTTTAGGTATACAGTATGTTGACATTCATTATTGGGAGTTTGTACCTTTACGTAGTATATCTTGGTTCTTATTTTTCTCCCCGTTCCCCTTCCCTCCCTTCAACCCCTCCACCCCTCCCTATTTACAAAGATTTGTTTCCATACTACTAGACTTTAAGGATGCTTTTAACCTCTGCGAGGGTATCTTGGTATGGGGAACAAACACTGTCTGTAAAGAAGCTTAACGGAACCTCCTAACAATCCTACTCCTGAGGTGCAGCAAGGCTTTTTTACATTGATACGAATGGCATGTACAAGTATGAAAATAAAAATTTATCAAGCTGTTAAATAAAAAAAAATTGGGAGCAGTACCAGTTTTGGTCTTCAAAATACTAGGCTCAGCAGGCAGAGGTCGCTGTCTTAACCCAGCTTCTCTCTGGGTCAAGAAATGCAGAACAGGGAGTCATACTTTGCCTTCATCGTGATGTTTTACAAAATAGCATGGCTTGCTTAACACAGGAGTCCAGAGAGTAGCACCATTTGGAATGAATCAGGAATCTTTCCAATTCTGAAATACAGCTCTGAGTAAGCCATCAGTCTAGCTCTGTCTTCACTATACCATTAGGACATTTTTAGGGTTTGAATTTGGAGTGCCTAAGTATACACTAACATATTGCCTTCAAGTGAGGATACTGTGGATGACTTATTCTCTTCTTCCTTTTCTGCATTTACGAAGTTTTCTTTAATGACTATACTTCACTTAAGCATAAGAAAAGGTCATATTTGAATCCAGTTTGGTTGAGACACAGTTAGAGACCATGGTAACAACAGAGGACAAGAAAATCCCTGGGCCCTTAACCCTTTACTCATTAAAAGTATGATTTGTGTGTTTTCTTCTTAGGCTATCAGGGACCAGAGGCTGGACCTGCCAGTGGATAGCTACTATTGTTTAAAACTAAAATGTCCCCCAAAACTTTCATGTGTTGACAGGCCCAGCTTTGGAAGGTACCTGGATCGTGGAGGTGTGTTGGGAACTAGGCTACATAACTCAAATCTCACAGTCTAGAGGTCATTGTTATCTTGCCTCAGAAACAGAAGTATGAAGAAGGCCAGATGCCCCATGGCTATGGGCAGAATGGGAATAACCCAGCACTCCTGACACAGACAGTATCTGCTCAAGACAGTGGCCAATATACAGTCATTTGGGCTGGGTGTGGTGGCACAGGCCTGTAATCCCAGCACTTTGGAGGCTGAGGCAGGAGCAGTGCCACAAGTTCAAGGCCAGCCTG